ACTCTTTCCTGCTTATGCAGGGGGTCGGACTCGATGATCTATTGAGGTCCCTTCCAACCCTAACATCTATGAATCTATGAATCTATGAATCCAGTTCAGTCCACCTTGGCCTCTGTGCTGGCTTCCCTGCCTGATCCCTGTTTTCCTTCCTATTTAGACCTTCCTAGTAACAGAGGGAGAGTTTCCCTGTTACAAGGCTGGCTAGAGCAGAGTAGTTTCCTACCAGAGTAACTTGTTCTCTTGCTTCATTTTATCTTCTCCCATCCCTCATTACATCGTCTTCCTCTGAGTTCCATGAACTGATCAATCCTAGCCCCACCTGCCATACAGGCCTATCTTATTGTTCCCAAAACATACATGCTTCTTCTACATTCATTTTCCTTCTGACCAGAGGTATCAAAAACATGGACTGGACCTGGCCTGTGGAGACCTGTCATCTGGCCCCCAAGCTGCCCCTAGGTGTTAAGTGGACAGGCAGACTGAGTTATGCTGAGTTGCACAGAGTTGGCCCAGTTTCACTCCCATAGAAACCCCAAGAACTCCAATGGGAGCAGTTATTGCAGTGGCGAGCATTTCTAAGCACCTCACCCACAGTGCACTCCTCCATCATTTGGCTGTCCCTGCCACCCACCAACACACACCCACTGAGAATGGGATGACCAGGATGCTGAACTGGGGATCTGGATTTTAGCCAGAGAGTGAGAGATTCAGGTATCTCTGCCAAACTGCTGCAAGCATAAGCCAGCCCCCATCCCACAATGTGCTTAGCAGCAAATGCTCGCTTTTGCCTGAGCATGAATTGACAGCTGAGGTGGGGAGGAGACTAAATATTTTGCAGTCTCTGGAGAGATTAAATCCTTCTTTATGTGAGTTGTTTATCCAGTAGAAGCTGTACTCAGTGAAGGGAAATGGAGTGGACTGCTCTGACTGGGATATTTCTGGTGTTGGCTCTGACTCTTGTGTTTATTATGAAAATCAAGAATTTCTGGAACTTCTGCAACAGGAAGGATTTTCCCCCAGGCCCAAGACCCTTACCTGTCATTGGAAACCTGCACATCATGGATTTGAAAAGACCCTCTCGCACTCTCCTGGAGGTAAATCCATCTGTGTTGTAGCTTTGCTGACTTCAAACGGGTAAATCTGGCCCACTACTTTAAAAACTCTTATTGTCTTTCCATTTAAGCTGTCAGAAACCTATGGCCCAGTCTTCAGTATTCAGATGGGATTCACAAAGATGGTGGTGCTCTCAGGCTATGAAATGGTGAAGGAAGCTCTGGTGAACCAAGCAGATGCATTTGCGGACAGAGCTGAAGTCCCAGCATTTGAAGAACTATCAAGAGGAAATGGTGACTTCAGTTTAATTGCTACTCATACTTGCTCAAGCAGATAAAAGTGTTTCTTTTTAAAAGGAGCTCAGGTGCTTATATGCCTATTTGGACCAGCACCCTTGTAAATCAATGTAAACAAGGGCCACGTCAGGTAAGTTGACTGATTTAGTCAAAGGTGAAATTGGTGCGAGATAGCAGGAACAGCCTGAGTGAGTTATGACCTCTTCCCCGCTGCACAGCTGAATCAGGGCTGGGCTATGCCGCCTTCCCCCCACCACCGCTGAATCAGGGTTGGACTATACCTCCTTTCCTCCATTGGGCCAGGGGGGCCCTGCTGTCCCCACTGTGGGTGCTGGATCAGTGCCACTAGCTGAATCCAGCCCACAGATAGACCGGGCACTGCCCATACAGCCCACTGGGCCAAAAGGTTGAGCACCACTTCTTTAGACCTCTAAAAACTGTATGTCACCAACATACCTCAGCATGGAATAAGAAATGAGTCCTTGGTTGGAATCCCTTGCTGCAAAGCTGGAAAAAAAAACAAAGGCTTGACCTCTAAAACAGCAGTACTACCTGCTTGCTGGCTCTGAAAACCCCTGAATCCAGCTGCCTGGGTAGAAATAAACAGCTGAGCAGGCACCCTAAGATTTCTCGTCTTTTAAAAACTCTTTAAAATGTAGGCCCTTGAATCATTATTTTTTTCATGTTTGAGATTTGCAACAGGGAAATAATCTCCACTCACCTTTAAATTTCTTTTTCTCATGTCTCCTCTGAGTTCTTCAACATCCAAAATATCTTGGACATCTCGGCCTGCAGCTCCGCACTCGCTGCAGGGCTCCCTCCACTCCCGGCGGAGTGCGGGACCTGTGCAGCAGGGAGTGGGAGAGGCAGCAGGTTCCAGTGCAGGCCTTCCCGCACTGTGAGTGCTGGAGCTGTAGACACATAGGGCAGGCTCCACTTCCTCCTTCCACGCAGCGCTGGCTGGAGCCGCGCCCCACTGGGTGCCTGTGCCGCATGCGAGTGCCCTGGTCTCCCTGCCTGCTGCTGCTGCCAGGCAGCGGGGACTGCACACTATGGGGGGAGTGTGGGGGTCCCTACACTCCCCACCCTCATACCCACACCCTGCCTTGCTTAGCTCCGTGCTTCTGCTGCCCCTTTGGGTGCAGGCTCCATGCTGCGCTCCCGCTTCTGCCTAGCTGCAACTCCACCACCCTCACCAGCCCCACCACTTCCCTACCTGCTGCCCCGCGTGAGCAGGTTCCAGCTGCAGCAGAAGTCCTGTCCAGAAGCTGATGGCTGAGCAGAGCCCTTCCACCCATGAGCGTGGGAGTGAGGCCCAATAGGTTATGTTGGGGGGTTGTACATGTGGCCACCTTGCTCCCACCCTCATGGGTGGAAGGGCTGGGCAATGTGCAATTCATTGAGGGGCACCACTGCCCAAATGAAAGGGTCTGGTGGGCTACGTCCGGCCCACGGGCTGTATTTTGCCCACCCCTGCCCTAATCCTGCAAGTTCTATGCAATGGATCTGTCCTTGGTCATTGCTCATTCCAGAATTGGGCCACAGTTTCTCTTAAGCATAGAAAGGGGAGCTCTGGCTGCCCAGTTACGGGATATGTTGTGTGAGTTATATGTACTGCCCCCAGGCTGCAGAGCACAATGGAGGGGTTTGCTTTTTCTCACTTCTGAGCTTTGCTGTTTCTCTTACGGGGCTGGGAAATAATTTTTTCCTCCTCTGGCTGCTAGAGGTGCAGGTGTCATATTTTTCTTTTTTGCCTTCCTCAGAAGTATTGGGTGTTGGCTGAAGCTCAGGCTGGGGTGTATTGATGTTCCTGCTAAGACTAAGACCTGGAGGTTCCTGATTTCTTCACCCTCCTGATTACACTACTGAGACTAATTTCCCAAAGAAGAAGGGTCTTGCCCCCACTGTCCAAGGTCAGGTGGATCACCATATTTGGGATCAGGAAGAACTTGTTCATCACAGACAGATTGGTGTGGACTGCGGAGAAATTTGGCTTCCTTTATAGTGGGAAGCAAGGCCCTCTTTCTTGGATTTCTCAATCCAAGGAACAGTTGCATAAGGTTTTCTTCACCCATTTTTTCATCATCTCTAACTTTTCTAAGCTAGAGCTTAAAACAACAATCCTTCCTGTTTCTCGATCAGAAAATACCATCTAATCAAAATGTAAATATTTCCTTCTATGTATAAGTTTCAATGAAATTATTGTTGGGGAGGGTTTGCAAATCCAAGAAATATTTTTATGGAAGGAGCCACCCCAACCTCATCTAGTGATTGGGGCTGTCACAAGTGTGGATGACGTGTTCACACCTCTGCTGAACAACGACTGGAACTTGCATTGCCTATGCCTCAGCATATAGTTTCAATGCGGCCCTTCTTGAGCCGTGCTTTTCTTTTTCTGTAGAACATGCTGTTCATGAAATTAATGTGAGATTCTTCATTTTCATCCTGCACTGGAACAAGAAGAGGTTTGGGAACTTGGAAATGTTTTCTGTGAGGAAATGGCAGCTTTTCCACCCAGCCTTAAGCTAAGCAAATGCTATCGAAGGCAGTGTGATGCATCTTTTATTGTTTAAGAACCATTTTTTTTTTATCATTCTTATAACGTGATGTCTTCCTTTCACTTCAGGTATTCTTTTTTCACATGGTGAAAACTGGAAAGTGATGAGAAGATTTGCCCTCTCAACCTTACGAGATTTAGGAATGGGCAAGAGGGTCATTGAGGACCAGATTGTTGAAGAATGTGGCCATCTGATCAAGAATATAGACTCTCAGAAAGGTCAGTGGGTGCTTAACTTCATCAAAGCTCTGAGATTGTGATTCCTACCCACTAGGATACACAAGAGCTTCTTTGTTTCATCAACTTTCTCCTTTTAGGAAAAACCACTAGCTGTTGTATGGTAGTGTTGGAGTTGTGTTGTAGACATGATGGTCCAGGGAATGTGCAAGAGGCAAGGATCTTTGGGGGTGATACATTTTATTGGACCAGCTGCATAGTTGGGAGAGAATTAGACATGCTTTTTTAGGACAAGGCACTCTGGTGATAATCCTTGATCAATTCAGGGCCACCAGGAACTAAAATGGGAAGGAACTTTAGGAGCAGAGAACCAATAAACCAAACGTCTTTGCTCCTTATTTTAAGCAAAACTTCTAAAGGCCCTTAGATGCAATATACCCTTTGAACAGGGAATATCATACACCTCTATCATTTTCTTCTGTGCTTTCTGGTATTTTTACCATTGTTGTGAATTGCAGCAAGCCGATGCCGTGTGATAGACCTGGTTTTGCAAATGTGATGGCGTAGAGCAGCATTTCGCAACCTGTGGGTCGCAACCCAAAAATGGTTCCCAAGAATATATGAAAGGGTCGTGAATGAACTTTAAAAATGGATTCTCCCTTAAAGGAGAAAGACATGGAAAACTGTGGCTTTTCCCTTGCAGGTTGGAAGAGTTCAAGCCTGCAAGGGGCTGCTTGGGCCCCCCATCCTCTGCCCCATACACCCCCCCCCCCACACACACACACACCCCACACACAGTGCAGGCTGGTGCAGCAGGTCAGGAATGAGGGGCACTGGGTCAGGACTCTCCATCAATGTTTACAAATGGGTCTTGGTACAAAAAAAGTTGAGAACCACTAGCTTAGAGCACCTGCCTAAATCAATCTTTTGGGTTATGTTAGATTTCATGATTTCCCTGATTATGGCCTTATGACTGGATTTTGCTCTACCCTTGTACCATCGTCATGAATTAAGGGCAGGGAAACTGATGCCTGGGTGTCTGCCCTTGAATGGGAGAGTCATTAAGGATTTGCACCAACCAACCAAGCTTCTCCCCAGCAAAAGAATAGGTTGGAAAACCTAGGAAAACCAGTTTTTCTTGCCTAGTCTCCCATTAAACGATAACCAAGCCACCAACCACCTGATAGGAGACTTGATCACCTAAGGACAAGACTGTGACTAGCTAGAACTATCATATAGCAGAAAGGGCTGGAAGGAATAATAGGTTCAGCTATTTTCTGAGAAGCTGTATGTCTTAGCCTAGTCGCACTAGAGAATACGGAGCTGGAGACATGAGCTGCAAGAAAACTGGATCTAGAGTCCTGGAAAGTCATTGTCCAAAATCCAAAGACAGTTCAAGGGTGGTGAATAAACTGAGGCAGAAAAAAGGCATACAGGGAATGGCATGTCATTATTGTATCTCTTGTGCCATCTCAAAAGTTGATTGGTTTAAGAATTCCCCTCTGCACACAGCCTCAGGCTGTCACATGCCCTCACACATTTCAATGATCAGGTATCCCAGATGGGCTAAAGTGTAAACCCAAGGACCCTGAAGGGTAGACCTGGGGGGCAGGTGTGTTTCACCTCCTAAAGAATCGTGGGGTTCAGGCCTATTTTGGGAGCCCAGGGCAGATAAAGTATGGGTTCAAACTGTGACACAGTGCCTTGGCAATGAATCTAGAGGCCAAAGAAGAAAAGACAGTACCAGGAACTTACGCAGACTGAAGGAAGTTTAAAAGCACGTGGCACATATGGCAGCCAAGTGAATAGCCATGAAGAAAATGCCCCATGAGATCCATAAGAATAAGTGAGGCTCTATGAGGGAGAGGGAATACAAGGCACCTGGACTGGGTTCTTTACTGTGATACTGAACTCTGAAGTGACCTGCTGTGGTCACTTAATCTCTCTTTACCTCAATTTTCTATCTGCAAATGGAAATAGATAAGGATAATGTTTGTTTTTTTCTACCCCTTATCATGTCTGTGTAGACAGCAAACTCTATGGAACAGGGAGTGTCTTTTGTGGGTATGTACACCACAGAGCACAGCATGGTCCTGCTCTTGACTTCCTATTAACTTAACTACCTATTAACCATCCAGTTTGCAACATCTCTTCTTTCATTCGAACATTTTTTAGGAAAGCCCATTGACCTGACTATGATAATGAATGCAGCCGTTGCTAATGTTATCGTGTCTATATTACTGGGAGAGCGGTTTGGCTATGAAGACCCCCAATTCACTAGACTTCTACATCTGATCAATGAAACTATCAAGCTTGCTGGAACTCCATCAGTTATGGTAATGTTGGATTGTTGCATGGCCTTTGCAGGATCTTAATTTTTTCCTAGTAATGACTGAGAAACCCAACAAATAGGAGGCTAATCTATAGGTCTATGCAGGTGTGTGACCCAACACATATACAGCTGGGAATGTCTTGCTTTAAAACATCTTAATTTAGTTATACCCAGAGTGACAGTCAATGTTCAAAGACCCTTTTTACTGAAGAAAAAAAAAAAAAATTCGAAGAAAACACATCTTTGGAAGTCCCTGCCTGACACAGTGACCTAGCTGCACCCTTGGAGGGCACGTGTGAAATTACTGTGATGCAATAAACTCCAGCTTATAGTATGCTGGAGTTTATTGCTTCCAGGCATCACATTGGAATGTGCACCTGGGACTGCAGCACATTGAGCTGGGTCGGAGTAGCCCTGGCTGGCAGGGGGTCAGCCTGCCAAACTAGAGCTTCTCCGACCTGGCTCAGTGTGCCACAGAGGGACTGGCTGGGACATGAAGGTGCTACAGTACAGGGCTGGCCAGCAGGCAGCCCCTACACTGAAGCATCCTCTTGCCCCAGCCAGCTATGTCAGCATGTACACATGTGCTGCTGCGCAATAAAGAGCACTGTCATGGAATATGTTTACAAGTACAGTAAAATCCCTGTTACCTGGCACAAGTGGGGAATGGTGTGGGAGTGCTGGGTATCTAAAAATGCCAGTTACCTGAGGCCAGTGGTTTTTGGCCGCACATGGAGCAAGGGGCGCAGGGTGGTGGCACCCGCACGTGGAGCAGCTGCAGTGCAGGGCAGTGGGTGGCAGTGGCTGTATGCAGAACAGGGGGTGGG